TCCCCGCTTATGCAAATGAAGCCCAGGAAATTCAAATCCCAGGCTTCATTTGCAAGTGCGGTATGCCTACATTACCCCGCTAGTTCGAGCTAGCGGGGTAGTGTAGACATACCCTCAGACCTTCCCCCGGCTGGACTAAATGATCTCTCAGGGTTCCTTATGGTAAAACCTGCCTAGACCCTGTGACAAGCTATTTAAAAGATACAGGGTATATAAACTTTCCTTCATTAACATACACATTTAAATTCTCTCTCTTCAGGATTGTCTTGTAAACTATATGTTTGTAGACTCCATTCACATAAGCTACAGAGCAATGATTTAAACAGAGAAAAACAAAACTTTGAGCTAAGGACCCAAGCAACACTGGGTAAATCTTCTAGGGTATGTCTACACTAGCCCCCTAGTTCAAACTACGGAGGCTAATGTAGGCATTCAAAGTTGCAAATCAAGCCCGGGATTTAAATATCCCGTGCTTGATTTGCATGTTCCTGTCCGGTCGCCATTTTTTCAAATTTACAAAGTCCGGACTAACTGCCCGCGTCTATACGCAGCAGGGACCCAGTAGTTCGAAATAAAGCCCTAAATTGAACTACCTGTTAAACCTCATTCCAGGAAGAATAACAGGTAATGTGGACTAGGGCTTTATTTCAAACTACCAGGTCCCTGCCACATGTAGACGCGGGCAGTTAGTCCGGACTTTGTAAATTTGAAAAAATGGCGACCGGACAGGAACATGCAAATCAAGCACGGGATATTTAAATCCCGGGCTTGATTTGCAACTTTGAATGCCTACATTAGCCTCCCTAGTTCGAACTAGGGGCCTAGTGTAGACATACCCCTAGTGAGCATACAACACAAGAAAGATAAGACAATGGGTATTTTTTAACTTGATCAGAAGCAGCCACCCAGAAAAACAGACCTACTGTTTCCTATATAGACATTCAAAGAAAACTATACAATTTTTTGTAGACAAAAATAAGATCATATCTACTGCGGTATTTTAAATCTCACAGCGCTGGAACCGGGGCTGCAGTGAGGCTTCCCCAATAAGTCCTTGCTTAACAAATGAATCCCTTTCAAAAGGTGGTAAATGCAATCCATTTTAGAAGACTGGAGAGATAACGGGAGGATTAATTTTAGTAATGCCTGTGAGAGACCTGACAGGTAAGGTAGGTGGAAAGGTTCCGAAAACCTGGATGGTGAGAAATTCTGCTTCAATGATTTGATTTCAAAGTTCCTGATAACACTATAAAATAGTAGTCCTGTCAATGACGACTGAAAGTACTTAGCAGGCCCCCAGCTGCCTCCTCCTCCCCCCGCCCCATGAGCAGGCCCCAGCCTCTTCTCCCCCGCCAAGTGCTGGTGGCAGGCCCCAGCTGCCGGAGCAGGCCCTGGCCACCCACACCATGGAGCAGGCCCCAGCCCCTGCAACGTGGCAGGTCTTGGTACCCATCCTGTGGCAGGCCCCAGGCTTGCCCTACCATGATTCTATGATGCTATGAAATCTGATATCTATCCTGATACACAGATCCATAAAAGCTGGGCAGGAGAGTCTATTTGTGCCAGCTTGTCCTTTAATTTGTTACAGAGCCTGAGCTGAAATTGATAAAAGAGTGCAACATCGTTCCCCAGGCAGTGTCTGTGGCCAAGCATCTAACCTGGGCACAGGAAGAGCCCAACCTCAGTTTTGAAAGTTTACATCAGGCAGTCTCTGCCATGTGAGGTTCATGTGGGTTATCAAAAATGGTGGCAAAGATTTGCAGGAAAGTATCTTTTCTTATCAGTGGGTGGTCCTGCTCTAGAAGGGGAGAGGCCCACGCAAGCTAAATACCAGCTCCACCTTCCTCTGGTCCATGGCATATTCCTGGGGTTGAAGGATAAATAGGAGTTTGCACAGGACAATCAACCTGCAAAACTTGCTACAGGTGCCATTTTATCTTTCTAGAAATGCAATTCAGGGGTCAGCCACCCAAGCTGGTGTCATAAAAGGAGATAAGTGGGTACCTGCAGTTGTTCCAAATGCTGAAATTTGTACAGAAAGAGCAATTTTCCATTTTTGGATGCCATATTTGATCCCTCAGTCTCTTTTTCCCAGCCTGGAGGATAGTAATCTGTTCCTGCAGACTCACAAGTTCTTGGAGCATTGATGAGGTAGAAGCACCACTAATATCCTGTATTTGGCCCAGGGGCTCAGCAAAAAGTCTTGGAAGACACTAAGAGGATCAGAGCTAACTGTCAGGGCCCATAATGTAGACAGCCGAGTTAATGGTCAGAGTCCAGAGTTGAGCTGGGGTCTAGGTTAGGAGTCACTCCAAGGGTCACAGCTGGAGTCAGTCAGTCAAGCAATGCCAAGGATCACATCAGAACCAGAAGCCAAAGCCTATAATTAGCATTAGGATGAGGGATCAGGAAAAGGATCAAGGTGAGGAGCAGGAATAGAGAGTGGGAAATGGGCAAGGAAGCAGGAGCTTAGTCTCAGGAATCTGGTCAGCAGCAGCCCAGTGACAAGGCTTGTGAGAATAGGAAGCCTCATGCTCAAAAGCAGTCTGCTGTTAGTCAGCTGATGCTGCTGGAGTCACCTGCTGCTGGGATGCCAGTTGCAGTTTCCTTATTTGACTTTGGAGTGCAGTGGCACATCGGGTCAGGGTCTCACTGCGAAACCCTGTGGACAGGGTCCAAGAGCTGTGGTGCCTTAAAGTTCTGCTGCTGAAGTCAGGCTGCAGGGAGGGAAAGCAGAGCTGAAAGTATGGAGGGAGTTTAGTTCTGAGGTCAGAGGTGAAGGATGCATCATCTGTTATAATAATAATTAAGAAGAAAAGGGGACAGATCAGCTACATGATTTCTCTTAGAGGGAGGCTTCAGTTTATCTCCATCTAAAATTCCTTGACACATTCTTGCAGTAAAAGAAAGTAAGACAAGTTAAGTTCAAACAAGATCACGTTTACCTGATAAATGTCTTATTTTAAATTTACCATAAATTGGTATTCACAATCCAGTTTTTCCTGACTGATTTCAATGCAGATTCAGTTGCTCCCTGACCTAAATTTCTACCTGATAGTAAGATAATGGCACTCTTCATGGAATTCTACCCTTTAAAATATTTAATATAAATGTTAAGAAGACCGCTTTCATCTTCTTTGAGATATTTTAAAAACAACGTCAACATTTTCCTTTATTTTAGTAGAAGAAATGCCAGGGATTGCGGGGAATCTTCACTTCTGGGGGCTTTATACAGACTTGGCAAAACATGGACAGTCTCTGTCCAATCTTCAGAGGTGTCAACAGCCTCCACAGGGCCCTGAACAAAGTGTGTGTGAGGGGGGAGGGGGAATGGTTCTATACTCCCAGATAGGGCAGGGCCTCAGATGGAAGGGGCCAGGTCAAAGGTAGCCAGCCCTCAGTGCTTCCCATACTGTGGTACCCCTTCCCCGCCCCAGCCCTCAGAGCCTCCTGAAGTATGCGCTGCTCCGTCGGCGATTTAAAGGGTCCTAGACTCAGGCCGCCAGCACTACTGGCCCCAGGCCCCTTTGAATCACCAGGCACCAGGGCAACAGCTCTCTTTTCCCTGCCCTGTCGGCAGGCCTGCTAGTCTTTTCCAGAGGTTAGGGTAAGGTGAGGAGGTAGCAGACAGGATAATTCCCCTCACTCCAGCAGTTTGGGGACCCACAAATAATAAAGCTGGCTCTGACATCACATCCTAATTTGGAAAACCGGCTCTCTGCTACTTGTTCTTCAGTGCCATGAGTAATAAACAGCATAATGATCAGAACAGACTGATTTAAGCACCCTTCAACAGTAGCATTGCTCCCTATAGTATTTACCTCTGATGACTTCTTAATGATGTGAGGTGCCATCGTTTCTTGAGCCATTGCCGCTTTCCTTGGTGACTGAAAAGGCTGGTTTTGCTGCGGCACAGATGCTGCCTTAGGAAAATGGACTGTCAATGAAAGAGATAGTTAAAAAAAAATTACTTTGGCAAACAAAAAAAATGAGTTTTATGCAGGTGTTAAATTTCCTGGAGTTAATCGGGTAGACAAATGCCTCTGATGCCTCATTTGGTCCATTAACTGCAATGCCACCTGCCAATGACTGGGACTGAATACTAACAGCTTTTCTAACTCTTTACAATAATTGACAAACACAGATGGATTCACAGTTCAGCACAGCCCTCCTATTCTTACCTGCTACCTTCCGAATTATGTCCCCAGTGTGTAAAACATGCCTTCTTTTTCAAATGGGTGAAATGAATGTAAGATGCAAGGTCATTCTGCTCACTTATGTGAAAATTATGTAGAGGAATGAATACCCACCAAACCAGGACCAGCATCATCCCCTCCCTGACACCATACCTTCTAATTACTATTTAAAAGGAACATTATTACTGCAGCGTGTCAGATGTGTGCTGTGAATCACAAGGAACTAAACAGGAGTTTAGAGACCATTTGAAAAGATAATGGCAAATTTTGAAGACCATAAACCACTAAAAGAGAATGTTGTTGAGACACAAATGTGGAAAAATATAAAAATAAAACGAAATGTTGTTGTCAATATTTTTTTATTTTATTTGCTACCATTTCAGACTATTTTTATATTATCTTTTCCCCCCCAACCCAGGTATGTCTTTTTAACAGCCTAGCTTAATTGATAATAACTAATCAAACATTATTTTCTAGCCTAGTGCTGTAATGAATCATGATTCTCTGTCTGAGCTAATGGTCTTATTATGGCAAAAATTTTCATGTCACACATTCAGAATTGTAATTTAGCAGGGCAAGATAAAATAGGAATGGGACTGTGTATGTAAAAATGAAAGAGAAAGGGAGAGAACACCTTTATTTGATGCCCCAATTTTGTGGCAATGGAAAAAATATTGTTTAGATGTTTTGACAGTTTCTCTATGGACAATCTTTTACACTCAAGAGCCATGTAGTAATTTCCCCCAAACTAACCAGGACTGGAAGGGATTCCCCTTTGTGATGGATCAAGTAACAAGTGTCTCTGTATAGCAGTGCAAAACATTCCCACCTACAATTATGTGAAATTTTGTTCAACTTAAATGTAGATTCAGTGACACCAGAATGCTTCATGAATTCCTGATGATTTGACTGAAGTGATTTTGTTGAAATAACCATTCCAAAAAAGTTGAGAGTTTTTTCTGTTCGTAAAAAGTTTCATTTCAAAATTTCCTTCACTGAACTGATTTTAAAAAAATTAACTAAAAAATTGTTTTCTGATTTTCCAGAACTGACAGTTAACCAAAAAAATCTATTATTTGCACAGCTCTACTTCTATCCCCTGCAATCTCCTGGGAAGTAAAAGACTGACCTAGGTATTGAAACTTGGGATATATCTATTTTGCACATAAAAAAAACATAGCTAACCAGTCTCATGAAATTCAGGCTAAAAGGCTGTTTAACTGCAGGGTAGACTTTCAGGTTCTGGCTCCAACTTGAGCTCTGGGACCCTCCCACCTTGCGGGATCCCAGAGCCTGGGCTCTAGTTGAATTCAAACAGCTACACCAGGCATGTCAAACTGGTGTTTGGAGGGCCACATGCGGCCCGCCAGAACATTTTTATAAAAGAATGAAGTGCGGCCCACTGGCCGCTCAGAGCACGTGGCCAAGTGCCTGCTCACAGCCAGCTGGGTGCTCTGCGCTGGGCTCTCCAGCAGGCGCTCACAGCTGGCTGCTGTGCTCACGCTGCCCCAGGCGGCAACGTCAACTCCAGGACCCAGGTATTAGGTTGTGGGGGCCTTGCTCTGGGTGAGGGGGAAGGCATTAGGTTGGGGAGGCTTGGCTCTGGGGAACGAGAGAGGCATTAGGTTGGGGGTGCCTGGCTCTAGGGGAGTGGAGAGGGATTGGGTTAGAATGGGAGCATGGAAGTGCCTGGCTCTGGGAGAAAGGAAGGGGTTATTTTGTTAATATTTTGTTTTTATTTATTTATTCCCAAATAAAATCACAAAATGTATATTAATTTTATATCAATAAATGTCAATTCTTTGCAATTACATGAATAATTATATCTTTATGCAAAATCTCAAACTTACAAAGTATCTGACATTTTCAAAGAAGCCTGTTCTATTTGATTAACCATGGTCTATACCTGTTTTTATTTCAACAAAACAAGTTATGTATCATATACAAAATTTAAAAGTACCTTAAATTTATATTTAAATTAAAAAGTATGTAAAATTTTAAAATTATTTAATACGAGGAAATAACAATTTTACACAGCAAATTATTGTAATATTATAAAATATACCTAAAACATAATCTATAAAATAAATAACTACTACTTTCCGACAAAGTACATTTTCTTTGGTGGTCCTAGGGTTGCCAGATGTCCGGTATTTTGCTTGGTACCTAAAATGCTGCTTTTTTTTTTAAATCAGTTTTTGTTTGTGCGGCCATCAATAGGCTTTGAGTTTGATATGCCTGGTCTACACAGCAATGAAACAGCCCGTTAGCCCAAGTTCCAGCTGACACAGACCAGCTGTGGATTTTTAATTGTAGTGTAGACAGACATACCCTAAATCTCTTCCTCGGTGACCATAGGGGACACCACTTAGGCTGGGTCTACATTGGCACTTTCAGCACTAAGACTTCAGTTGTTCAGGAGTGTGAAAAAACACCTCCCAAGATGACAAAAGTTTTAACACTGAAAAGCCCACGTATAGACAGAAGCAATTCCTGGCTATAAAGCTACTGCCCCTTGTTCAAGGTGGAAGCGGGGGGTTATTTCCAGGAAAGCTCTTCCCTGGCAATAAATCATGACTACACTGCCCACATCCCAGTGCTGCCCTTATTTGAATTTCTGTTGAAGCCTGATATTTGATTTTTGTGTCCTCTTTAAACCCAGCGTTTAGGTTAGTACAGGTAATTTCAGGTTAGTTGTATGTAACAAAGGGTAAGGTTGTAGGCTTCCTTATAGTGTTTTCATGATGGCTTAGATACCACCAGTTAATCTGTGGCTGAAGTATTGTGAATTTGTGTTATTGAAGCAAGTGATAGGTGTGTGCGAGAGACAAGTAAAAGTCCAGTTGTTTCATTCTGGGAGTATAGATAACAAGAGATAGGTATTGCATTATTAACCCTTTTGACATTGTATACATACACAGAGAGGGACCAACAATCTTGCCTGGGCAAAGGGGGAAGGTCAACTCCATGTTCCCAGAAGGGGAGGGGCCTTGGGTACAAGGGGCGGGGCTGGGGCAGCCAGCCCTTAGTGTCACTCAGCATACACAACACAGGGTTCCCCCCAGCTCTCAGAGCTACCCAGAGCATGCTGCACAGTCCTCCAACAGTGATCTAAAGGACTCCGGGCTCTGGACACCACTGTTCTTGCAGTAGCTGTGATGGTGGCCAGGAACTCTGGGACGTTTTGCCTTTTAAATCGCCAGGTCCTGGGGCAACTGCCACCTTTGATGCCACATCCCCCAAGCAACAGGCCTGCATACACAGATACACCTTCCTAGCCATTCATAGGGCAACAGCGCAAAAGGATGGGTTGTATTACCCTACCAACCCACACTTACTTCAGTACTGCTTCTCTGCCTGCCTAGCTCTGAAGGCAGCACATCTGCCACTAGCAGTACAGAAATAAGGGTGGGAATACTATAACCCTCCTACAATAACCTTACACCCTCCTTCACACACAATCCCTTTTAGGATCAGGACCCCTACACTTACAACACCATTTAATTTCAGATTTAAATATCTGAAATCATAAACATTAAAAACCCATGACTTTGAAATTGACCAAAATGGACCATAAATTTGGTAGGGCCCTCCCAATTATGTTTCCACTTAATGGTAGTTCTGCCAAACCCACATTTCTCTCCCTTGCCTATCAGAATGTCATGTGTTAAAAGTAAGGCTGTCCATTAACATGTGTTAATGCCTGTGATTAACACAAGGCAGAATTAATGCATTAATTTTTTTAACGTGCATTAATCGCAAGCATTTCTGTAGCGTTACCCCTCTGAAATGCCACTGCCACGTTTCAAAGGGGCAGCGGCGTGGGAGCCTGGGATCAGCCAGGTCCCCAGCTGACCCCAGGCTCCATGCAGCACTGCCCCTTTGAAACACCGCCGCAACATTTCAAAGGGGCAACGACACAGCTGATCCCGGGCTTGGCTCAGCACTGCCCCTTTGAAACACAGTGGCGGTGTTTCAAAGTGACAGCGCTGCATGGAGCCTGCAGTCAGTTGAGGACTCCAGCTGATCCTGGGTTCCCACGGTGCTGCCCTTTTAAATGCCCCTTTGAAAAGACGCCGTGGCATTTCAAAGGGACAGCACTGCACAGAACCAGGGTCAGCTGGGGTCTCAAGCTCATCCCAGGCTCCCACGGTGCTGCCCCTTTTAAACACTGTGGCAGCGTTTCAAAGGGGCAGCACCTTACAGCTGATCCTGGGCTCCTGCAGCACTGGCCCTTTGAAATGCTGTGGCAGTGTTTCAAAGGGTCAGCGCAACATGGAGCCTGGGGTTAGCTGGAGTCTTATTATTGTTTAACAGCACAATTAATTGCAATTAATTACAATTAATGTTTTTAATTGCTTGACAGCCATAGTTAAAAGTCTTGCTGAAGTCCAGGGATATTATGCCCATCATGTCCCCTCACCTATCAAACTAGTTACCTTGTCAAAGAAGGTAATCAAACTGGTTTGGCATGATTGGTTCTTAGCAAGGCCATGCTGGTTGCTAGCAATCATTCCTTCATCTTCCAGGTATTTGTTAATTGAATGTTTTATGCATTGCTCTCACAACCTCCCAGGTATCAGAGTCAGACTGACTGATCTACAGTCCCCAGCTCTTCCTTTCCCCCATTTTTAAAGATGGGCACTATGTTAGCACTTCTCCAGTCTTCCAGGACACTTCTGTTATCCATGAGTCTGTAAATATTATTGCCAATGGCTCTGGCTTGTGCTAATTCCTTCAGAACTGCTAAATAAGCCTCTGAACCTGGTTATTCAAATCAGTCAGAAGATCTCTGGCTTGTTCTTTACTTACCCCAATCTGCATCCTTTCCCCTTTATCTATTGTAAGGTTACTAGTCATCTGGTCACATGTTACTCTTTGTGAGAAGACTGAAGCACAGTAAGCATTGAGCAGCTCTGCTTTCCTATCCTTTTCCATTACCAGCTCAACTTCTTCAGTAAGCAGCAAACCCACACCATCCTTGATCTTCCTTTTTGTCTGGCATATTTTGAAGAACACCTTCTTGTTGTCTTGCAACATCCTTTGCCAGATGTAACTCATCCTTTGTTTTGGCTTACCTGATTTTGTCCCTACACACTCGCACTATTTCCTTTTATACTTCTTGGTGTTCTAAGGATTTCAGAAGTGGATCAGCAGGCTGTGTGTGCCTGGAGAGTTAGAAGGGTTTTGGAAAGAGGGACTAGTTTGAGTCTTCTGTCTGAAGAGAGGAAAAAGGAGGGCTCAGTAGGCATGGAGAGGGAAACATGAAGATATATTTGTCTTCAATTCTACAATATAGTTTACTAAGAATGAGTGACAGTGTGAATGTCAACACCCTACCAGCCAAGAAATAAATCAGACTGAAACTCCAGTCTCTCTACACTGGTGGTGTTTAGATGTTTCAGCACATATGGTATGTAAATATCAAGCTCTATTTAAAGATGTTACAGTGCCTAAGAGCAGCATGTCTACCAACAGGTGATCATACAGTAGACTAGCAGTCTGGTTTCCAAAGGGATCTGAACCGCCATGTGAAATTTTTTAGAGGTTTGCAAATGAAGAAAGGTTAAGAACCACTGCATTAGAGCAAAAGTAAGAGTAGTGCCTCCCCTTGTAATCGGCAGCTGAACTTGCTGTGTATGAAAGTCTCATGTTAGAGTGGAGCAGTGGTTCTCACTGGGAATCTTGTTAAGGTCCCTAAGCAATAGCTATATGAGGTCTATAGCCAATAGCTGCATCAGATGGACAAAACTGGAATTCCCATGCCATAGGAGCTGATATAATCTGCTGTCAGTTGGAAGTCATTTTTTGCATAGATACTACATTACACTTTTACTCATTCCCACAGTGACCAAGAACTGAAGCATTTCTGGTCTTCTGTTGGTGTTTCCAGACAGCATGAGTTTTATGTATTATATAGACAGCACATAAAATGCTGGAAAACTTAAGATGACAAGCAGGGTGAAAAGTGATGCAGGAGACTGAATGGCTTTGGTTAGTTTGTACTGTGTTAACTTGACCATTCATATCTTGTAAATTTGCATTCAGTACCTGTCATTTAAGACTTAGAAATAAGATACAATATCTTGGATTGTTTTTCCATTATTTTAAACATTGGTCTATGTACTCTTTCTTCCAAGTGCTGGCTCTGTTCAAACGAGGCTTGCGGCATTTAAGATTGTCAGAACAGCATTAACTCCTGACAATATTAATTAATCACAAGTACATTTCATTTGCCACTTTGAGTGATTGGGCAACAAAATGGCAAATTAAATTTAATGTGGATAAGTGTAAAGTAATGCACATCGGGAAAAATAACCCCAACTATATGTACAGTATGATGGGGGGCTAATTTGGCTATGACAAATCAGGAAACAGATCTTGGATTTATCGTGGATAGTTCTCTGAAAACTTCCACGCAGTGTGCAGCGGCGGTCAAAAGGGCAAATAGGATGCTAGGAATTATTAAGAAAGGGATAGAAAATAAGACACAGAATATCTTCCTGCCCCTGTATAAAACTGGTACGCCCACATCTTGAATACTGTGTACAGATGTGGTCTCCTCACCTCAAAAAAGATATTTTGGCCTTG